CTTGCTTCGGAACATGTAATAAGAGTACTAGGTAGAAAAATAAAGACAAATTGCTTGGAATTGGAATGCATGATCAGGGAATTAAGCTGGGTTAGTTATCTAAATGTTGAGCATGACCTCACTGGTCCGCTAGGCATGTGACTTGTAGAAACGGCTTCGTATAGGAAACTACAGTCTGGTGGTTCTACAAATATCTTGTAAGAGTTTGTGTCTCCTGTTAAAGTTATTCTACTTTCATATCCATTATGAAAGATATAGCTTATAGTTTATCTGCTGAACTAATTCCATTGGCAATTGCAAATACCATTGTGAAAGATATAGCTTATAGTTTATCTGCTGAACTAATTCCATTGGCAATTGCAAATAATGGGTATAACCTTTCAAAATTCTTTCACTTCCTCTTCAGCTTGATATCAATATAAACCCTCATCTTCCTTCTGAGTACATAAACCATTTGGAGAACCCCATGCAAATCATCAATTGCGCTGAAAAAGCAGCTGAAAAGGACATTTTCAACTTGATGCAATTTACGGAAAATCTGAGGCGTCAGTATGGCAAAGAACCTTACTCGATGGAAATCCTATTGAAAAAGCTTTATGTCAGAAGAATGGCAGCAGATTTAGGAATTAGCAGCATTTATGCTTCAGGAAAGATGGTTGGCATGAAAACAAACATGTCAAAAAAGGTTTTCAAGTTGATAACTGATTCAGCAACTTCAGATATTCATCAGAATTCTCTGATATTTGAAGATGGCCAAATAAAGGTGTGGAATTGTTGATTTTACTATCTTCTCTATACCTATACTAATGCACTAAGGTTGCATAATCTTCATTTGAAAGAAATGGAAAAAATAATGTGCAAGGCATGTTTTCCATATTTAAGTGGCTGTGTAATGATGTGTCTTATTTCAGGCTGAACTGCTCTTGGAGCTACCTAAAGAACAGTTGCTGAATTGGATCTTCCAATGCCTTGCAGAATTATATTCCTCATTGCCGACCTTGATAAAATATTAGTCCTTTCAATGAACTGTGATTCTTACATCTAGTAGGCAGCCGCCCCATGGCCATTGCCCATCGCTATAATAGGGTCCTGGGGGGTGGTTTAATTAAGAGTGTTAGAAGCTTGTCTGTCATCAGCGGCTGTCCCCACATGTACAGTATGAAAACTTGAGATAGATCTGTATCATATATTCAAGCAGATTGTGTTAACCAACTGGCACTTTCCATTCCTCGCGGGCAGTCAATCTATATCAGAAGTAAAAGCCACGATGAGTGCATTGCCTTCTGAGATGAGGTACTTAACTTTTGAATTCAATGAGGTTTATCTTTGGTCTGTTCATTTTCTATTTTTACATTGTCTCCTAATCGTCAGAGACCTGGTTTGCTTTTCACTGTGCAGGATTAACAGAGTTGTTTAAATATAGGATATAGGATATATTGATGGACTATAAAAAATTAGGATCCTGAATAGGGGAAGAACACGGATCATATATTGTCTTTCACGTTCCCTGGGGCTGGACCCATGCCTCCTTTCTCTTTATGTTAGGTGCACTCTTCGTGACATTTTCTTTCTTCTGAATTATGGCGCTTCAAGGAATTGTGTTACATATTTATTTATTCAAAAAATTTGGGACAAATGTGATTATAAATTTAAGAGCTAATTTCAAATATATACAATAAAGTAATTTGTTTACAACAAATATAGTCATATTTTATTTACTTAAGAACTAGCCAAAAATGATAAAAAGTATACACTGTCTATCCGATATAGCTTACTAAAAGTCATAGAAAGTTACATATACATGTGGTATTCACAGATTATACATTATGATATACTCAAAAAGCTAGATATGCCCTAACTATATATGAAATATATACATGAAGTGTACACTAACTATTCAATCTTGATCATCTCAAAGTCAAGCAGTTTCAAAAAATTAAATATGATATGTCTCGATATTTCGAGTATTTTAATATATAATTTACTTGAATTGATTTACGTTTTTTGTGATACGTTGAATTTACAAAAGAAAAAACGATGGAAGAGATGAAGAATGAATAGCAACAAAAGAAGAAGATGATGAAGAACAACCAAGAAACATAGGAAGAAGAATAAGGAATGAATTAGCAACAAAAGAAGATCAGAAGTCGACGGCCATTTTTAGGAAATTAGAATAGCCTAATGGCCATATTAAGTAATTAGTAAAAATTGGGTTTAAAAAGTGGTAAATAAAGTTTATGGGCTGATATTTTGCATAATTTATCCTAAATTTTATTGGTGCTTCTTATTAGCTAAAAATCACAGATAGAAATAAAGAAATTTAATGAGCTGAATGATTCATTTGAGACCAAAAAAGAAATACATTAGTTATGGACAATACAAAAAAAAAATTGTCAATTACTGACATTGATTCCAGGGTCTGGTCTAGTCCACAGAATGTCAACCGAAATGAATCCTACCTTACTGCAAAACTATAGTAAGATCACTAAGAAGTTTCAACAAAAGAAAATATTTCCATACTCATTTCAAGCATATTACACTTGATACTTACTACTTTCATGTATTGAGAAACAAAACAACTCTACCAAATATTTAATAGATAATAAAATATCTACTTCGAGTATTTGCAACATTCTCGAATTTAAAGGACCGTCTGAATTCTTTATAAGATTTCTCTCTTCTCTAAGCTTTGGTAGAATATAAGAGCCAATGTCCAAAAAAATGACAAAATGCTTAATTAAGACTATGCAAAAATCTATTGTCATCAAAATTAATTTACACAAAATGCTATGATTTTATCCAATCGCTCGGCTTGTTGCTTGAGGTGCACAAAAAGGTGTGGTTGTCTGCAGAAGACGACAAGGTACAATCAGCGAGCAGCTCAATAAACCTATTTTCTATTTCTCCCTAATGAGAAGGATAAGTAATTTTACCACCAAATAAAATGGTATCACATATTTAAAATCACAAGTTTCAAAAGTCTTTAATTTTTTTTTTACATTTTTCTGCTCAATCAAACTATGTTATATTAGATTAAAAAACACAAGTATTTCTTGCACTTCTTATCGTTCTTTGCCAAACCACTTGGTTAGCTGTCAGCTATACAGTATTGATAAAATGTTAGTTTCTTCATAAGTCACAAAGATGAAACTACAGCTTTCACTGCTTCATTTGTTGGTCCTGATAGATAAGGATTTACTTTAATTGAATGAAGTAATGTTATCTCTTCATTAAATATATTTACCTGTAAGTTAGTGAAGGAGCGAGTAGCCTCTCCCTAATAAAGGGTGATGCAGCCGATAAGTACATTTACCCTGAAGCAATCATTAATCTAAAAGTGAAGAAGATGAAATGACGTGTCCAATTATAACCTTAAGTGATCCTCAGATTGATCACCGTATCTGGTCTTGTAGACAGCAATCTACATTTGGAGAAAAAGTTGAGACTCTGAGCCTTAAGAAATGCAATAGTTCGGATCGAATGAACAAAAAACACAGATTGTTGTAGACCTCACTGACATTGTTGTTTCTGTTGGTTGTAGACCAAAACGTCTCAAGAAGAAAGACCAAAAATTCTAATTTATGTCTTATCAATAAGGTACTTACAATTTATGGGAAGAGAACAGTACAATCCATGAGTCCGGAGCCTAAAGGGCAAAAAAAAATTGTCAAAAATTTCAAAAGGGCACATCATTTTTTATTCTAGCCAAAAGGGACGCAGCGATATTCCTATGACAAAATGACGAAATAGCAGCGATTTCGTCTAAATTTTTTTTATTTTTTTTAATTGATTTTGTAAAAAAAAATAAAAAAATTTAATTAAAAATCGCTGCTTTTTCTTTAAAAAAACTAAAATGGCACATTAAAAAAAAATTAACCAAAAGGGCTTCTGACAAAACAAAAATAAAAATCGCTGCATATTTTCTCAAAAAAAAAAAACTTTTTTTCTTCAAAATCGCTGCTATAGCAGCGAATTTGGTTAAGAATTTAAAAAAAAAAGTTTTTTTTTTAATTTAATATTCTTTTATTATTATTTATGATATATAATTCAATTTTCCTCATGCTTCAACAATTTTATTGAGTATACTGTCGTCTTGTTTATCATTTTTATATTATTAATAAGTAATAATAGGCACGAAAATAATAGCACTTGGCATGAAAAACGCTGCCCCTGCAGCGATGTGTAAGAAAAAAAAAAATTCTGACTTAAAATTGCTGCCACAACAAATTTTTTTTCTTTTTTTTTTACAATGGCAGCGATTTTTAATTAAAAAAAATAAATAAAAATTTAGACGAAATCGCTGCTATTTCGTCATTTTGTCAGAGAAAAATCGCTGCTGACACATCAATTTTGCCCTTTCGGCTAGAATAAAAAGTGATGTGCCCTTTTGGATTTTTTGACAAATTTTTTTGCCCTTTAGGCTCCGGACTCCTAAAAAAGGACGGAGGAGAAGCAACATGCAACAAAACCAACAGACAGAAAAATTAGAACAGGTCAACACCCCTAAATTCCAGTCTGAAGAAGCGTTTCTCATGAAAACCTAATCGATTTTGCTGCCTGCAAGACCAGAGATTGAGGAACTCGAAAAAGATCGAACAGAATTCTGGAAACACCTTCAAATTGATTGAGAAATTCTAGTAGTAATATTAACAAATCAAAAGCCAATGGGAAAGAACAACGTGAACTGAAAGTATGCAAAACAAAAGGCGAGATAGATGAGTATATTTAGGCAAGTAGAAAAGGCACCAATGTTTATGTAGTAGTTGAAAGATAACCAATTCTCATTTAGAATAAGTTTAAAAGGCCTTTTTTTAGCCTTTTGCTCTACATCTCCTTAATCAAACCCTATTTACAAATGAATGAAGCTCTAGGACATTGGTTGGACTTCTGAGTTGCAAAAAAATTGATTACTACGACAAATTCCTGGGATTTAAAACTACCTTGCATGGAAGGCAATCAACAAGAATGGAGGCCAAGAGATTTTTGACTCACCATGCAAGCTTAATAGAGAGATTAAAAACATTTTTTACAACTGTATAACCACCACTGTCCATTCCCATTTCAATAACCTATCTAATCCACTTCCTAATCTTCAGAAGAATTAGAAAGAATAGAATAACCAAACTAGACAACTCCAGAAGAACAACTCCTCTTTCAGGCTTTCAGCCACTGCTGGAAGTATGATTGCATCTTGCCACGATTAACAGCATTTCCAACATTCACAGTAGGAATTATCTTTTCTGGCCTCAGAAACTGCAAAACCAAATATTTTCATAATTGGGATAGAGCAATATTTTGTAAAATTTCAAAGGGAACTAGCTCCAGAAGACTGAAACATCCACTTGGTATTTCTAACAGTTGGCAAAGATGACATTAACTAAATATTCAAGAAGCAAAAAGAATTGTACAAAAACATCTTAACCTGCACAAATTCCTGCAGCTCTATGAAATTAGAATGCTCACTATATGGAACACCTGCAGGAAATTAATGCAGTAGAAGGGTTGATTCAATGCCTCAGCCAACTAGGAACCACAAAAAGCAGTCGTAACATTAAGTAAATAATACAAATTATAAATAAAAATATGTAGAATTTAAACCTCCCAAGAAGCACCTATTTATCTCACCATAAATAGTGATGTTGCCCTTAGAAGTGGGTTTTATTAAGTTTAGATTCTCCCCAATGGTCTCTGAGTAAGTCCAACCTGTATAAATGTAATGGTAATTGGTAAGGAACTTTTGCATGAAATAAGGGACAAAAACCCACTAAAATAGATGGGTCACAAGCTATAAGTAACAAATATGAGTCACCTGTTGGTCGGAATGACAACATGCTAGTGTACTGTCCGTCTTGTGATGCCAAATAACGCTGCAGAATCTTGGGAAACATCAACAGAAGAAGTTATAGAAAAGGAAAACCCATCAATCATCTAAAGAAGGTGCTCATGCAGACCTCAAATCTCAAGGATGATATAGGCAATATGTGCAAAGGTGTATCTTTTCCATTTGTTGACAGATTTTCAGAAATTCCAACCCAACCAAAAGATCGAAGAATGCGCCTCCTGGAGGCATTTGCATATATTTTTACCTATGAAATAGTTATTATAAACCCGGTCAGCTAATATTTTGTATAGAAGTTCACTTTATTATGCAAATAGACAGCATAAAGTTCAGCTTTATTGAGCACATTGTAGGCAAACTTGTAACAAATTGTTGCCTTGTCCCAGAAAGACAAATGAAATTTCAATAGTTTGGTGCCATATGGCATGCTATTCATCCAGAAGGAATTTAGAAACCTAAGTTATAGTAGCAAAGCAGTTTCATCTTCTGCAAAATGGTCAATGTATTTTTTTTTCTAGCAACTCATTAGCTCTTAAGCCTTTGATGCCTTCGTAGAGTTGCTAGATATTCATCAAGTCATAATATGGATTAAAAACATAAAGATATCAAGAAATTCTCAGAATCTAAGATACCCCCAGTGCCTTGGAAATTGCAGAATACACATGTTCTTTTCCAATGCTGTATGCACCAACAACCACGATGGTTTTTGGATGATTATTCAAATATCTTCTCGTGACACCTACAACAAATTCCAAAACATCTTCTTTTGAAGGAAACCTGAAATAGATATCTCCAAGAAATTAACATCTAGCACAACTGTTAACAACATGCATCCACGACATAGAACAAAGAGAATTGCACCTGTACTTTGGATTGCAATATGTTGTGTCAAGGTAAAGTATATTAATACGTTGGCTTGCAAGAACTGGATATGCTTGCATCAGCTTTGAAGCCCTAAAGTCTCCAGTGTGCAAGTAACATTGTCCATTTGGGAGACGGAAGTGAATGAGAGCAGCACCAGGACAGTGATTAGCATCAAGCATAGTAATTTTGATTCCATTAAGGCTGTACTCAGTACCTAATTCCAGAGGACAGATAAAACTGCAAAAGAATCAGCAGAACCTAACTGCCCTGTACAATTGTTTGAGGTGGGAAGGAGTAAAATAACCCAAAAGAAATTTTTCTTGCTAATACACTTGACAAGGGGAAAAAGAGTCCTTACGATGGACTAACATAAAGACAGATTCTAAGCAAGCGAGCAGTGAGGTTGGTACAGTAGATAGGTCCATGTGACCATCCTTTGGTCAAGCCAATATAATGATCAGCATGGAAGTGACTAAGGAAATAGGCAGAGCAGCCTTTGACTGAACCATAGCAGAATGCATCAACAGTGAAGGGCGTTCCTGCATGAATGAAGGACTAGTAAAAAGTTGAATAAAAGATGATTGAAGTAGTTGATATATGAGAAAATAATGAAAACCAGGACATAGGTTAATATCAGTCAAACAAAAAACATACAGAGCTTAGAAACTGAAACAACAAGGCATGTGCTTGGAGTTTTAGGCTAAATTCATCCCTTAATTATGGCCTAAATATAAGATACATTCTTGTATTATCTCATTGCACAAAAAATATCCTTGTACAATTTAGAAAGTTGCAAGTTTCCTCCTTCCATCCATTTCTGTCAAAAATCTCACGGCACAAAAACAAATATGTCAAGCACGTGGCTTTACCCTTAAATAAGGCTTCAAAATCTTGCAGTTTCTTTTGATGGGAACATCAAAGAATACCAAATTCACCCCAACACCAAAGAATATTAAGTTTTATTAGTCCAGGTTTATGGCACCACTCCCAGAAAGTATAAAAAAGTTAATCAATACTTCATCTTTCTCTTAACTTTAATAGGAAATTATATATATAGAGAGAGAGTTGAATTCAGAATTTAGAGTCAATATAATATTTAAATTTTTATGATACCAATGCAAATGAGAATGGTGCCTCTCAAGGATACCAATCTTTAGAAGAAGGCAAAAATAATCCTACTTTAGTTTTGTTTTAATCTATCTAGCATCCAAATTCTTCTTAATGTATTGTTAAATGAATGCAACATTGGATCTATTCAAACCCAAAATCAGAAAAGAAAATAAGAAAATTGGCAAATCTTCTCTGACATTTCATCAAACACGTAATGGACATCTTAACACTGACTTAGAAAATCTTGGTTATATCTAATTGTTCTTAGGAAACTATAATTTCTTTCAGAATAATGACAAAAATGGCGAAAACATTTAACAATTAAAGCACTATAAGAACAAGAAAGAAGAGAAATTTTCAAAATGACAGCATCTAAATGAAAATTTCGTCAAAAAAGCTTTAGGTTATTTTAGAACTAAAAAGCTAAGTTTTTGAAGCCTCCTACTTGCTGGATCCTGGAGGTGGAAGACAATCAGGACTAGGGTGGGAAAAGTCACACATCTGGCACGTTCTTTTTGGTTGGTGTCGTTAGTTAAGAAGAATGAGTAGAAGTAGAAAATGAAAAATATAGAGTATGGTGGTGGAACTTGGAATCCTCTTATAGAAGGGGCAAAGGCGCTGTTGGTTTTTGCGGGAAGCAAGAGAAGTAGCTGTGGAAGGTCGCAGATCAAGGTTAGGATTCTCAAGCCCCCACAACTGGAATAGATTCTTCTGTGTCAGTCTCCTCCTCTTCTTGTCAGCGCCTCCCTTACAGCCGTCAACACTATCGGGTTGGGGTAAACAGTCGTCGAAATAAGAATCCGTCTCTTTCAGCTTCTCCATTTTCGATCGAAAAATCTCTTCTACTCAAATGGAGTTTTTCTTCTCATTTCTTTCTGATTCCAACGTGGACCTTTCTAGTCCTTTCCTTTAAAAGAAGGGCTCGAAAATACATCACTTTGGGCGGGCAAGTTAAAAATTCAAATTTCAAGACAACTTTGTTGAGTTTCATGATTTGTTTCTAGAATTTCACTTGCATCATTTCAACCTCAACGAGTATTTTCAAAAGCTCCACGGTAGTTCCAAATGCACAAAAAAATCATTGGTAACTTCATGAATAATTGGGTAATTTCACAAATGATATCTAATTTCGGGGATAAATGTTGCTAGAGTTTAAACTGCACATTTCAACTCTATGAATTTCACTAGCAAAAGCTTCAAACCCAAGCAAGTAGTACTACAATTTCTTACAGATAACATTAAAAATTTAGAGCTCGTTTGGATTGGCTTAAAAATTGATCAAATCTACAAGTCATTTTTAGCTTTTGAAAGTATTTGACAAAGTTAAAAATAACTTTAAAAAGTCGGTCATTTTCAATTTTATTTTAAGTTATTTTTATATTTGTCAAATACTTAAAAATATATGTGACCAATTTTTAAGTCAATCAAAACACTCTCTTAGAATGACAATGCGAATATTTGCACAAATTGGGAAAAGACATAAATTCCCCCTTAACTTGTATCGAAAAGTCAGTTACACGCTTAAACTGTCATGATGACCTATTACACACTTATACTATTTAAAAGTGAATTTATTTATCCCTTAAAATTGACCTGGCAAAATTGAAAAAAATAAAATAAATTATGAGCGTTAGATAATTATTAAAATTTTAAAAAAAACACATAATTTTCCTTATACCCCACCCCTCACATGTCTTCTTCTTCATACCCCACCCTTCTCAATCTTCTTCACACCCAAATAAGCTTCAAATGCATCAGTGACAAGAAGCAATCTAATAACGAGTTATTCAAAAACGCATCTTTTTTATCCATAAACCTCCCAGCAAGAAATCAAAACAGTACCAGGTGTGGATTTTTATTTGTCTTTTTCACATCATCAATGAGGTAAAAATTTTGGGGTTTCTCAGTCGCCGAAGCTATGGCGAGTTTTTTTGAGTAAACAAGATGAATGATCAATTGAAAAGGGGAAGAAAATTATTTTTCTATTATCCCTATCTTTTAAGAAACCTACATGACGAATATAGAAAAGGAAAAAATAATCTGCCCAAATATGAAAAATATTTGCAATTTGAAGCTCGATTTTCATGGTCAATCAATGGAAGAAACTGTAACAATTTTCTTGTGGTTCATTTTGGAATGGAAGAAATTCTTCCACTCCACGAATCAGCTTCGAATTTTGGAAAGTTTTCTTGACGGCCGTTGTAGAAAGCTTCTTCTTTGCAATATGAAGATATAATTATTAGAGAATTTTACTAATTAATTGGTGTAAAATATAGTTAACAAAAGAAAAACAAAAAAAAAAATAAAAAAATTATAATTTTTGACATGGCGTTGACGTATCGCTAATGTGGCAACGAGCGTAATACATCACATATTATAAAAGTGGTGTTACACGTCCTAGAATGATATTAAATTCACTTTTAAGTAGTAAAGTGTATAATATGTCGTCATGATAGTTTAAGCATGTAACTGACTTTTCATGATAAATTCAAAAGGGATTTTATGTATTTTCCCGCACAAATTGGATGATTTAAGACCCCATTTGAATTTTGACTAGTGAGAAATTACATCATGAGATGTGTTTGTTAATAAGAAAATAATTGTATATCAATTTTTTTTTAACTTACCTAAACATGAGATTTGTTTAATGATTATAACAATAAACAAATGACTCCTAATAACTTCAATATAGGAGAAAAAAATGTTTTATTATTCATTCACTAGTAATATTATGTTAAAAATAATGCTAAATAAAATGCATAAAAATGATTCACAAGTATTAAATGTTCTGATACTCAAAGTTACTAGCTTTAACAACGTAGGTATTAAAAAATAAACTTTTTTGGTAGCTTGCCAATTAAATACATCAGAGTTAGGATAAATATAGTTATTTACTATTTATTCCTCGCAAGTTAATTCGTTATAATTTTATTATCTAGTCAATTCAGTATATGTTACTGTAAACCACATGTACAAATTCAATTGTATCATTTTAAGTTAGTAGTTGCCTATCTGTGTGATTGGTGCTTCGGCTTCGTAACTGCATGCTAAAATTTTGGACTTCATTTAATTAAGAATGTTTCTGTTCAGGACCTTTTGGGACATGTTATAAATAAATTCTAAATGCAAGACTTTTGAGCTTTAGGGGTAGAGAAAAGTTCACAATACAAGATTCCTTGTTTTCTTTCAGATTTGATTCAATACGTAAGTTCTAATCAATCGTTACAAATAATATTTTTTTATTATAATCTTTGATGTTCTTGTATTCTATTATATGAAGTGATTTTCTTATAGAATCTTGACAGACACTATATATGGATGGTTAACTTTGGATTTTAATTTTTTGTTTTCATGTTTGAATACATTTATGAAGTTCTAATTATATTGAGAATCTATTCACTATTTCTTTAATCGAAAGAGAAAAATTTTAGAGCAAAAATTTTCATTAGCTTGTTTGGTTTAAATCTCGATTTGTTTTAAGTACTCGAAAAAGGTTGTTGAAATTACTGATTGAACCAATAAGAAAAATATTTGGAAGACGTTCATGAGACTAAACGCTAACCATGTTTTTGCATATATATGTCTGCTGCCTATGATTAGTTTATTTTATAAAGTTTAGATTCAATCGAAAGAAGTATCTAGACTTTAGAGGAATACTCCAATGGACTATTGAATTCGTGAACAATAGGACTTTAGATGTGACTATAAAAAAGAACCATATCTCAATAATAGTCTTGCTCTTGTCTTGTCTACTACCCTATTATCATATTGCTAATATTTGTATTTGTCAATGATTTGTTTACCGTTTATTCCTGACTAGTTAATTTGTTATAATTTCATTATTTGAACAATTCAATTGACGTGTCCTTAAATTACATGTATAGATTTAATTGTATCGTTTTAAGGGTAAAAAGATGAAGTAGGCATTTGACTGTAAAAATCAAATATTGTTCATTTTTATTTGAAGTTGTAGTTTGAGTTGTGTTTGGTCGTACTTTTACAAAGAATTTAGAATTTGAATGTACTTTTAAAAAAATAAATGATTTATACCTCAAATTTCTAAAACCAGCAAATCATCCAACCTGACTTGAAACATACAACTAAATTTGAAAGAGATATTCAATAAGTTAGATTTCATATCTTAAAAACCTGACTCGAAAGATAAAAGACAATTTAACTAACTTTTAAAAATAATATTTCACAATAGATAGTGATATAATGTCATAGATATACGAGCAACTACATGCTATTACAGTTTATAAATCTCCACTGCACATATGTCCCATGCATTAATTGTACAAACATAATCCTATCAACATAAATAAATATTTCATCAACTTTTGCTATGAATGATACAACAAGATCGAGAATAAGTCAAATTAAAAATTAATAAACTCACTTATTTACTATATATATATATATATATGAAATTTAGGGATGATAAATACAATAATAATAAATAGAAAACAAGTGTAAAATTGTAGAAATCTTATTTTTAGTTTGTAAAGAGAAATAATATGTAGAAATTGAAAGATAATTTATTTTGACTTATTAACAGTTTGAATTCTAGCTAAACAAAAAATATATGAAGTTGTTTTTATAAAAACTAAAATAAATGGGGCAAATTTGAAAATAAATAATTGTCAAAAAAGTGAGAATAAGTTTGAGTTGTTTTTCAAATTTCAAATACAATGTGCCATTGTATTTGAATTTTTGATGGTAAAACATTAAATTAAAATAAAGTAATTTTTTTCTTGAGAAAAGTCAAACAGAGCCTAATATATTCAATGGAAAAGGGTCATAACTATTTCTACCCTATGGAAAAAGACTCATAAATATCTTCCTTCCACCTTTGAGATCTAAAAATACCTTAAGGGTTGTTTTGGATTCAAACATACCTCTCGAACTAACTAATACATTGAGGTCAGATTCAAGTCTTTTAAAAGCGAGATGACACTTGTCCCTTCGGGGACATCCGATAAAAAAAGCGAGATGACACTTTTTAATTAGTCTTACATTTTATTTCAAAATAATAAAAACTCACCCAAATTTTAAAACCTGAACCCATGCTAATCCATTTTCAACCCCCCACAATACATTTATTTCCTCCCAAATCATCGATCTAGGTTCTACCTCATGTGACTCATCCTTATGTTTTCCTCCTCAGATCATTTCCTTGCTTTTGTTTCTCAAAACAACATTCAATCCATAAACTTAGTTTGAATCATTGGTAGAAGATTAAGTGTCGAGGTTGAATAATGTGTTGAGAAACGAAAACAAGAAAGTGAAAAGGAAGAAGGAAGTTACTTTGAAAGTAGAAGATTGATTCACACGAGGTAAAGAACGTAGATCGATGATTTTTGAGGAAGAAAAAAAATATATCCTTTAATTTTTTAGGTTGAAAACGGATCATTGAGATTCAAGGGTTTCAATTTTAAAACTTGGGTGGATTTTAATTATTTTGAATTAAAATGTGAGACTAATTAGAGAGTGCCACATGATTTTTTGAAGAGTTATTTGTTAGTTTGAGGGGTATGTTTGAACCCAAAAACATACTTTAAACACCCTGTTTGGATGGTTGTTACCCATTGCATTGTATTTTTAGTTTAAATACAATGTTTGTTTTGATTGTTACTTAAATTCTATTGTATCGTTTAAATTCATAGTTAGGTAACGATGAAAATAACCATTTCGTGTGATCGCATCGTTACCATGATATTTTCTTCTCTATTTATCTTTACTTATTATTTAATAACTATATTTTATCATTTTCCTTACCTTTTCATAATAGCTCTACTCTATAACTTACAAATTTTTGTAGGTTTATTATTTAAATTATGAATGTGTAACATTATATAATGACAGAAAATAATACTATCTATCATTAGGATATATTATGAAATAATATATAATAACCATCCAAATAAAGCGTAAAAGTATTTTTTAATCCAAAAGTGAAAAGAGGATTTTTATAAGGAAAAACTACCTATATAGACATACTTTCATACCATAAATACATATATTTCCACTAGTTTAAAAATATTACTTATAATACCATTTTTTAATAAATATACCGTATCTTTTAGAAAATATAACCAGATACACAATTTCATTAAAAGTGGTACTTAATAATTATCCTAACATTATACTTCCTTAATTATTGGGACTTTTTACAATTCAAATCAATTTCTCTCTTTCCAACACCATTGTTTCCCTCCCCAGTCACACGTCTCCTTTGTATCTCTACCCACACCTACACGTTATTATCCTTCATCTTCCATTACCCCTTCTTTACAACCTACTCAATGCATATTTTGGATGTAAGAATTTCATACCCAACTCTACATAAGCAACATTATATATAGAGGTAAAGTAATTATTATTTTTTCGGTTGATGTATTTTTGTTTGACACCATTTTAATGTATCTAATTCACAGATGTAGTAGTTTCAAAGTTCAAATTTAGGATTTTTTTCATTGGTTGAATTTGTTAGTTCTTCATACTATTTTAATGGTCGCTCATTTTTAATTGTATGTTTTCATTAACAGTGTTGCAATGGTTGCAGGTTCTGACTATTCATCTTCCAACATTCGAGCGGTGAGTAGAACTAAGTTTAGGAACGATCCAATTAAAATGGTTGAAAAATGCCAAGAATCAATTAATCGTTCAGATAACTCTTTCTTTCGAACGCCATGCCTTCATGTAATTAATGTCTACTCAATTCGGGTTTCACATCTTCTTGGATGTCCTTTGGTGTGTGCTTTCTTTGATGATTCACATATTTTGGAGCAACTATTCCAGATATCAAACCAACTGTTGCTTGACGCTGTGAGCACACTTTATCCTTTAACGGACTTGTATGCTCTCTATTGAAACATCTAACTTGAAATAAAGTTGTCTTATTCAAACATGAGGATTTGAATATCCGTTGGCACTCCTCAGACATACATCTCAAAAAGTAGTTGCACACAAAAGGCACTCAGTTATAATCGTTGAGGCTAACAGATACATGTTTAATTGTATAAGATACAACTTAATGAACTTAACAATAAACTAAATTATATATAAATATACACTTCATTTTCCGAGATACACTTCATTTGTCCGAGATACGCAGTATAAATCATGAAAAAAATTGCATGTATCTATACTACTTTATTATCTAAGACACATGTGCAACACGATATTAATGCTACAAAAACCTTTATTACTCTTCAACAATAGATCTTTTTACTTTAACAATGATGTCTACATTATCTCTCCGAGATACACTTCATTTGTTCGAGATACACACTATAAAATATACATGTTACAGAAACATTTATTACTTTTCAATATTTTTTTCAAGATACATTTTATTTGATCGAGATACACTAACATATGACACATTTCTATAAACTAAATTATATATAAAGATACACTTCATTTGTCCGAAATACTCACTATAAATCATGCAATTTTTTGCATGTATCTATACTACTTTATTATCTAAGACACATGTGCAACACAATATTAATGCTACAAAAACCTTTATTACTCTTCAATGATCTTTTTACTTTAACAATGATGTCTACATTATCTTTTCGAGATACACTTCATTTGTCCGAGATACACACTATAAAATATACATGTTACAAAAACATTTATTACTTTTCAATATTTTTTTCAAGGTACATTTTATTTGATCGAGATACACTAACCTATGACACATTTCTTCATGCTTCTACAATACACAAATAACATACATATCATGTATCCAACAAAATAACAAATATGACTAACATCTTCTTGTCTGATCTTAAAACCTTGAATTGAAATCAATTGTCTATAGCATATTTTTGCGTTACAGCCACGATAGTACTCTTGTCCTTATACAACTGCTTGATTTTAACTACTTTGTGGCTACGATCACAAATAACATGATCTGAATTACTATCCAAAACGCACAACGCATTTACACTACGATTATCTGCAAGAGCTACTACAGATATAGTCCCAACGTCACCTCCAACTTCAACCGTGGATGTATCTTGGTCAAAAGATATTTCACCATTGTTGTTGCATCCAAAATTTTGCTCTTCCATTGTTATGCATAATGGATACAAACCACAATTGGATTGATGTATTTTCAGTTCCATAAAAACCTCATACCCATCTCATTTCGAATGTCCATTGGAGTTACATTGCCTTCCAGTAGCTTATCTCCATTCTTTTGCGTGAACAATCGATCCTCAGTTGTGTTGAAATACCATCGACTAGATCATTGTAGGTTGCATACTCTCTCAATAGTATTTCATCAATTCTATAATTTGCGTAATCGCTTTCAGAGATCCACGAACTCGAATGTCGTAACAATATGGTTATATTCGCCATTCAGACAAAATAACTTTGAAAATTCAGTATTCAAGGGAATGAAACGAAGAAGAGACGAAAAAGTTTAAAAAGCCATATCTGTTAATCTATGCGATTTAGTCCTTTTTCAGAAAGCTATAACAGTTTGATATCAATTAATCCACCTAATTCATGGTTTGTTACATCCCATATTTTAATCCTTTAATTGTGGAATTAAGTTACAACATTCAATTCAAATTTAATTAAATAATGTATCTCTTCCCTTTATTTATGGTAGATACATGTATCTAACCACTTTTGATTCATATATTCGACTGAAAAAAAGTGATATATCAAGTAATTTAAAAATCTACCGAAATTCTAAGTAATTATAGTATAAAGTAGTGAGATTTATGTAATTTGCTCTTTTCCGTAGATTAGTGATATTTACGAGCCAATTCCGTACTTTCAATTTGAAAACTGTAGTTGGAGTTATCATTTTTTGTTGAGCACCAAATGAAGAGTCTTTACCGACCGACAATCATTTAACAGGCAGGGCAGGGGTAACTCCTGAAGGGTTGATAAGTCGTCACGCTGAAAAATGGACCCCTCAACCACAGCCTGTTTTTTAATTGAGAAATGGCATGGCTGTAGGGGTATTTTTTTTTCTTCAGAAAACAATACTTTGCCAGGAACGCAAGACAGTCCATCGCCATCATCTTTGAACAAATTTGTCAACTCCCTCTGTATGTTAAAGCTTCAAATATCATTTTTAGGGTTAGATATAAATCCAAAGATAAATTTGATATCTCATTATTACAAGAAGGAAGAATGAAGTTCATTGTTTGATCCGCTTTCCTTCAAATTTCACGCAATACATTGCCCCTTTTAACCTGCCGGTCCCCCTTTCTAGGTGAACTTTCTCAGCTCCTCCTCAATTTCATTTTCATTATTTTTACATTATGATCTTCAGCCCATCTCTTTTTCTATATAATCACCTTTCCGCTTTCCCATACCGTGTCTGCCTATTTACAGTTCCTAGCCTCACGGATCTGATTATCTTCGGCGGTGATGCTCCTGCTCCTCGAAAGTCGACCAAAGTTGCAAAAACACTACTCACTTCACTCTGAACAATCTTTGAGGCTCTTCCTGATCTCTTCCATCCATGGGCGAGTGGGTAATTGGAGCCGTTATCAACTTGTTTGGAAGCATTGCCATTAACTTTGGAACCAACCTCCTTAAGTTAGGTCATGATGAGGTACTTTCTAACCTTTATTTTGAGGTTCCACATTACAGAAATATCTGCCCTGTGCTTTGATGTTCCTGATCTCTTCCATTAGTTTGTGCTCACATTGGTTGTCTTAAAGTGTAGGCAAATGAATAATTGCTTAACTTAGAAAAGAGGAAATTGATTAGGTCAAGGTCTAATTCTGGTGAAGTATAGTGTCCATGTCCACGCCAAATTAAAATAATTGGGGACTCCATATTTGAGCATGCAATGCAACACTTGTCTCTTTTTTTTGTTTAGAAGGAAAAAAAAAGTCTCGCAATTCATGCTCAAATATGGAATGCAACACGTGGTGCTACAAAGGGGATATACTCTCATTTAATATAGTATGGTTCACTTTTACTATTGTTTCTTCGCTCTCTCTATTTTTTTTTCGTACCTTTTTTTTTTGTGTAATGGAAGGAAGTAGGATTCCAAATGGTACCTTTGAGTTGATGGATGACTTTAGACAAATAACTTGTTTGTTTGTACACTTCCATTCCCATTACACCTGTCTATTTATGGGTTTCTCTTTTTGTTGCAATCATTGATTGGACGCATTAAGAAGTATTCATGATGCATCAGTGTTGAATTTAATGTGATATTATCTACTTAGGCATTAGTTTTCATTTCTGTACAAACTTTGATGAGAGAGATGGACAACACATGTTCTTTTTGGCTTACTAAATCTATCCAACAATCTTAAATGCAAGTATTAAGGCAAATAATAGTGACTCAATACTGTTGGACTAATAATGGAATTGTGATACACTTTGGTTATGCGGGTTGATAACATGGCTGCATAAGAAGTGACTCAAACACTTTTGATTTTACGAGATAAAAATAGGGTTGGATAGAGGACACGTTGAAGTTGATCAATGTTTTCCGTAAGTCATATTACACATATATGAAGCAAGATTATTTAGGGGGTGATAGGTGCGTCCAATATTAGAGGGGAACATGAAGTAAGAAGAGGGGAACAAGAGAACCAATAAAGTTATGACAAACTTCCAAAGTTCATTGAGGACATGAAATTAGTAGACTTGATATGGAAGGGGGAAAGTATTCATGGAAGAGGGGTGATAGACATGTAAGTGCAGCAAGATTGGATAGATTTCTCATCTCTTATGAAATAGATGACATCTTCGGACACATCAAACAATCTATAATACAAAGAATAGTTTTAGATCATGCTCCCATTGTGCTATAGTGTGGAGAACGGAAAAAATTAAAATCTTACTTCAAGTTTGAGAACTAGTGATGGCTGCAGCCAAAAGGCTTCAATGAGAGGGTAAAGGATTGGTGGGACTTATTCAATTATGAGGGCAATCCTGTATTTATTCTAATGGCAAAACTGAGAGCTCTAAAAATTAAACTAAAGGAATGGAGTAAGACAATATAGGGGAACTTAGGGACTCAAAAACAAAATGTCTTGGCTCAACTAGATGCAATAGAGTAGATACATGAGAGCAGAGCTTTACAGTAGGAGAATATTGCCTCCATATTATCTCTCACAATGGAATTTTAAGACATAATAAGGAAGGAGGCGATTGTTTGGAGACAAAGATCCAGAGCAACATGGCTAAAATACGGGTATAAGAAGACAAGCTTTTTCCACAAAATTGAAAATGTCCTTAGGAAATTCAATACCACTGACAAGTTGAAGGTGGGTAGGGTAATGGTGGAGGATCCAAAAGAGGTGAAGACAAAGATAGTCTCATACTTTGACTATACGTAGAAACAAAGGAATGAATACCATATCTACAAATGGAAAACTGTCCCAAAATTATTGATAAGAACTTGTTATTGATGGCACCTTTTGAATTCCAGGAGATTTTGGAAAGCATTAAAGCTTGTGCAGGGGACAAGGCACCTCACCTAATGGATACTCTATGGAGTTCTTAAGTAGTGTTGAGAAATTATCAGAATGGAGCTTGTAGCAACAATTCAAAATTTTCATGAGAAGGATTTCTTAAAAAGAAGTATGGAAATGCACCTAAGGGTGGCCTAATTGTCAATGAATTGGTTGAGAACCTTGATGTCTTAGGTTCAAAACTCAGTGGAGACAAAAAATACTAGGTGATTCTTTCCATCTGTCCTAGCCTTGGTGGATATAATTTCTTGGTACCTGTTGCTGGTGGGAGGTGGCAGGTTTCACGTGAAATTAGTCGAGGTGCGCGAATGCTGGCCTGGAACCACGATCATAAAAAAAAAGAGAAGTATGAAAGCTACCTTTGTAACATTGATTCCAAAGGAAGCAGGGGCAAAAGGGCTAAATGACCACAAACCCATAAGCTTAATTGGGGGAGTGTACAAGATCATAGCCAAGCTTCTGACAGAAAGGCCGAAGAAGGTAATTCATGGTTTGGTTGATAGACAACAAATGACCTTTCATCAAAGGTAGACAAATAATGGATGTAGTGTTAGTTACAAATGAATATGTGGACTCTAGACAAGGTAGTAGGAAGCCATGAATTGTTTGCAAGTTGGACATTCAGAAGGCTTATGACCATCTGAATTGGAAGTTCTTATTATCACTGCCGGAGAAAATGGGGTTTGGTCCTAGGTGGATCAAATGGATATCACAATGTATACACAGAGTCAGATTCTCAATATTAATCAATAGGGAACCTAATGGGTTTTCCCCATCTCAGAGAGGTCTGAGACAAGGTGATCCCTTGCCTCTTTTTTTTTTTCATATTAACTATGGAAGGAATGAACAACCTATTGAATAAGGCGAAGAGGAAAGGATGGATCAAAGGTTTCCAAATGGGAGAGAAAAATAGTTTGGAGGTAATACACCTTCGGTATACATATACAAATGACACCTTGATATTCTGTGAGGCAATAGAGGAATAAGTCCTAATTTTGAGGGTTATCTTTATTATTTTTGAAGTAGTCTCTGGGTTGCATCTAATCTGGGAAAATAGTTTCATATACCCCATCAACACAGTAGATGAGATAGAGAACCTTGCAAGTAGACTTGGGGGTAAGGTGGGAGAGATGCCAACAACTTACCTTGGAATGCCTTTGGGAACTAAAAGTAAATCAACAAGGATTTGGAATGTGGAGAAATGAACAAGGATATTAACAAATTTGAAGAGCCAATACCTATATAGGGGTGGTAGATTGATACTAATTAATAGTGAACCGGACACTTTACTTTCTTATTTGATGTCTATCTTTCCAATACTTGCTAGTGTAAGTAAAAGAATAGATGCATTGAGAAGGAACTTCTTCCGACAGGGAAAAGAAGACAAGAAGAAGTATCACCTAGCCAATAGTTTACTGTATTTAAATCTTGAAACTTACATACAAATAGAATGATGCCAATTGTCAACCATGTTGTACCGTCTCAAATGAAAAGTGTGCCAAATAAATTGGAAAAAAATGAGTCATTATCCACGGAAAATCTCCCGCTGATGAATTATTTAAGAAGCTCTTCAACGAATAATATGCTTGACATCAATATAACGGAGACATGCCTGTTATCTAACAAGGAGGCATAGGTTGGTGTAGAAGTGTTCACTTCCATTTGTTCAGTTGTTGGAATTAGTATAATCTTGTAAGAGCGTCTGCATTTGTTTTTGAGTTCTTCTTTGTCGCATGTTATGAGAGGTTTGCGTAATGATTTATTGGTATGGCTGTATTTTGATATTCTTTTGTTCTTTTCTTTCTTTTCTTGTTATCCTCTGTCACCAGAGGCTCAACTTGTATTTTCTTTAGTAGCTCTAATGAATCATAAATATTTCAGAGGGAGAAGTACTCTGTGCTGGGTAATGAGGTAACAAATGTAAAGTCTACAATGAAGCCAATTATATACTTCCAAACATGGAGAGTTGGTAAGCATTGCTTTTGAGTTTGTCTCTTTACAAGTACTGATCCCATTTTAGTGTATTGATGGTGTTATCTTTTACACAGGTATTCTATTCTTTGCTATAGGAAATTGTCTCAATTTCGTTTCATTTGGATATGCTGCTCAGGTCCGTACTTATTGGTTCTTGTCTAGTTTGTCTTCAAATTTAGTGGGCTGTGTTGACTTTGGGCACGAAAAGTAGGTAAACTAGGGGCAGTGTTATCAAAAGCGAAAATCACAAAAAAGCTTTAAGGTCTATTGGGGCTTTAAGCACCAAGCGCTAATAAAGGGCTTTAAAGAAAAAAGGTGTAAATTGAGAAAAAAAATACTAATATATATGTTTAGTCCAAGACTAATAATGTTTTTTGAGAAGACGTCCAGGACTAATACTAATAAGCATGAATCATCATATATTTATATAAAAGAGAACCTAGGCCCGCCTACGTGGCGCCACCACAAGTCAGGATTTCCTTTTAAATTTATTTATTTCCAAAACTAGCCTTCCCCTTTCATGAAAAGTTGTGACTTTTATGAAGAGTTGCAACTTTTATGAAAAGTTATAACTTTTATGAAAGGTTGTCACCTTTTCGAAGGGTTGTAACTTTTCCAAAGAGTCGTGACCTTTATGATATGGCACAATAAACATTTGTTCACACTACTCTTTGTTGTCAATAAATAGAGGGATTTCCTCTCATTTTAAAACAACGAAAATTTTGAACTACTTTTTCTTCTTCTGCACAATTAAATATTCGTGTACTTTACTCCTGTTGAGTGGTTCACTCACACCATTGTTTTTGTATCAATACACTGGTGAATAAAATCGTTCTATCCTGAGAGGATCTATTCCTTTAAACCTCGGGTACTAGAGGGGAATAATTTCCTTAAGGAGACACTGTATATTCAGTGGGCTCGATTTTTCCTTTCTGTTTCATTCTATTGTTATAGATCCTGGTATGTTTTTTAACAATTATTAATTTATGCGTTATTAATTGCTGTTTTTGAGTACATGTTTTAAACTATGTTGTTTATGTTTCTACAAAGTTATTGTTATAAGTATTTGTTAGTACAAATTAAATAATATACGTTAATTGAGTATTTACACATGTTTTCTCTACTAAAATTGTTGAAGGTACAATAAAAAAATTTCCTTAAAGATCTACACTACCATCTCTGGAAGACAAAATTCAAATTTGGTATGCCATTGTAAGGACATAAAGACCTTAAAAGCTTCATCTCACCTTGATGTGCGAAGTGAACTAGGAAAAGAAGACAATAATTAATAAACTTTTGACATGGGTTCAATGATATGCCGGATGACCTATAGAGGAATATGACTAGACTGGAGCCTGTTTTAATCGCAAATACATAGATAACTACACAATAAATTAATTGCCAATATTCAATATGAAGTATGGACAAATTCTCAAGTTTACTGTAAGTTGTAAATACTTTTCTTGTAGTAATAAAAGGGTTTCTTGACACTGCAATTGGAATAGAAGTGTATCAAATTGAACTTCATCACTGCGGTATGTTGATTTTTAAAGAACACCCAAACAAACTGAATAGTTTTGTGTAATAATTTTTCCTTTCAAGTATATATAATAAGTTGAATTGTTGTCCAATTTGATACATTCTCTGTTTAATTTTCCATTTTAATAATTACTTCTGATACATTTGAATGAGGAACTTTAAAATGATATATGTAAAGCAAGAGGTAGGGCTGAACTTTCTACACGATAGAATTAGAATATTTTTTCACTTTTTTCGGCCTTTAAAATTTTATTTATCCTTTCACCAACGATTATTTATTTATTAGAAAATTTAATATCTCAGGTTGATGTTCATTTGATTCCCCAAAATATCAAATAGTACCACTTCCTAGAAGCAAAAGGATAAATTATAAAATCAAATTAAAGATGATTGATTGAAGTATAAATGATAAGATGTTATAATTATTATTTTCCTTTAATTTTTTTTTTTTGGAAAATAAAAAAATATTATTTTCCTTTACATTATTAATGTTCGTTACTACGTAATCTTGTATCTAAGATAATATAGTATTTTAGTTTTAATGATCGATAAGTTTTAAGTATTATTTTATAAATCCCGTCATATTAAATTTCCTCGCGAGGCGCGGGTAATTTTACTAGTTATAAATATATGGATAAATTTTCTTAAAAATATTATGATAAGTGAGATATCAATTGTTTAGTGCCAGCCTCTTTCGGAGCGGCTAGGAAAAATATGTCTTAGAGCCTTAATAATGACATTGAAGTGTAGCACTCACCATGTTTTGTGCCTCACTTCAGGGCTTAACCACATTTTTAACAACATTGATCAGGGGAGAGGGAGAGGGGGAGGTTACAACCAACTTGCCTAATATTATGTTGAGGTGTAAAACAATTGAGTTACTGCTGCGTAAGGTTTAGGGTATAACCCAACCGACACAACTTATTCCTATTTCTTTTTCTTTCATTGAATCTCTTTCAGAAAAGGTCCAACATCCATAGAATAAGAGGCAAATCAAATTGAGTGTTCTTGCTGCAATTCTTTGCATTTTCCTTTTCATTTTACTGTAGACAAGCTTGTGAGATGGTGTGATTGATAATCTATTTGAGAAAGAAGCCTCGTAGGTAATATCTGTTGAAAATGATTCTGTGTTGAGTAAAAATGTTTTTTGATTTATTTATGAAGACCGAAAAAGGGTAAAAAATGCCCTTAACCTATGTTAACGACAACTAACACATACTAGTGTAATCCCAGAGGTCCGGTAAGGGTGGTATGTACGCATCCTTACCCCTACCTTAAACCAAGTGATATGAACAAAAATGCTCTTTGTTAATAGTTTGGTCCAAAAATGCCCACATTGTTAATAGTTTGACCCCAAAAATGCCCCTATTGTTACTTAATTCAGCCAAAAATGCTCCTTTCCTAATAAAGATATTGTTTCTTTTCTTTTTAGCACATTCTTTTTCCTGATAAAAATGATGTTTTTAAAGAACATTTTTCTTGTTTCGTTTCTTTGAAAATTCCCCTTTTTAATGATAATTTTTTTTAAAAATAAAATCCCTTTAACTAATAAGAAAAATAGAATAGATCTTTTCTTCTTAATCTCGTTTTATCAATTACAACAAAACAACCTCATGCCCTTTTTAAACTGATAATATATGTATATATATATATATAAAAGATCAAGTAACCCCACCATTAATTTTCCTATAGGTAATGATAATTTTTTTTCTTGATAAAATATGAAATTTTTTTATTTCTTAATCTTTTTCGATTTGAAATAAGATAAGCATTAGCTAATATATTCCTTGATTTTTAACTCAAAATGAAAAAGGTCAACAATAATAACCCCATCATTGATATTTTAAAGATATTTTGTGATTTGAAACAATGTAATAATTTTCATTTTTTTATTTTTTATTATCATTATAGAAACGAAACTAATGATGGGTTATTATGATCTTATATATACGACCTATATTATAGGTTAAAAAATAAATGACATTATTTGATTTTAATTGATAAAACGAGATTGAAATGAAAAGTAGTTTCTTGCCGCTTTTTATTAGTAAAGGGATTTTAAAATTAAGAAACAAGAAATGGGTCCTTCAAAAACATTATTTTTATTTGGAAAAATGTGTTTAAAATGATAAGATACAATATGTTTTATCACAAAAATGACTTTTTTGACTCAATTAATTAACAATAAGGGCATTTTTGGCAAAACTATTAATAGAGGCCATTTTTTGTTCAATTTCACATAGTTTGGTATTTTTGACTCTTCTCCGTATAAAAAAAGGTTTTTTTGATTTAATTTAACCTCCTTTTTTGGTTTTCATTTTTTGCTTTAGAATACCGACTAACTTATTCCCCATGAAATGGTACTCTCTCTGTCCCTAATTACTTGTCCACTTTTGAATTGACACACATATTAAGAAAGCAATGATTGACATAGTAAGTTTACTATTTTACTATTAATTATGAAGTGGATGAATTAAAAACTTAAGATTTTCAAAAAGTTGTACCTTTTTCAAAAGATATATTGAGCACCTTGTTGATCAGACAAGTAGAAATGATACAAAGCAAGGGTCATCAAAAGAAACAATACAAAGCAAGATTGAATAAATGAACCTTCATCCAAGTACGAACAAGATTGAAAGAATCAAATCACTTTAACGAAAGCATTATGGTTCATCACAATCCTAGCTAGAACGTTTAGTTACAAATCATATCCAAGAACAACGCAAAACATATGTAGATGAAAACTATCCATCAAAATATTCTTCGTATCGAAGAAAAGCCCAAGAGTTATTCTCCATAAAAATGCTTAGATCTTAAGAATCAAAAGATGACTATTTAAGGCTTGCTGTTAGAGAGTTGAAGTCACAATGGCCCTGATAAAAAAGAAAAAAAAAGGAAACGAGAGCTGCAGTCACAATTTCCATCTCAGTTTGAATGCTAGCTCAAATCAATTTCAGCACTTCAATTTGGCAGTCTGCAGTCGGTAATTAAGGTGCTGCAGTTGATGCACTACTTGGAACTCTTGTCTGCGGTTGCAGGCTCAGTGGGACATCCCTTTTTCTCACTCTGTTCTCATTGTCTAATGTTTCCTTCTTGCTTTCTCATTACCACTTTTCATCTATCCTTCTTCCCATGCATAAAAAACACAACCATGAGATTCATCCTCAAATTGATTAAAATTCACTAAACAATAAGCGCAAAATTGTTCCTTGATAGGGGAATTGCCAGACATTATGCAAAATATCACATTTATCCGGTGGTTCATGCAGTTCAACACTATCTGTTTGTCATTTTGACTAATTTATGAAGTAAATCATGCATGACTTAATTTGTATTTTTAAAATATAAATCTACATGCATATAAAAGATATCACCAGCCAAAAGGGTTTTGTTTCCATTTTGTAGCGTAAATCGTAATGGTAAAATCATAATACATATAGCTTCTTAGCTTGTTTTTCAACATAAGTAAGTGAACTTTGTAGTGATGTTGCTACTTTTAGATAAAGAAAAGAATAGAAAGAGATTGGTCTAAAAAGGAAAAAGGCTTCAGTTTTTATTTAATGAACATGCTTATGAGAAGTCTAATGGTTGGGCACAAGCATGTAGTCAGATGGATTACAAGGATGCAACCTGTTGGGTGTACGACTGACTACAAGATTGGGTGTACAAACTATCAAGACTAGTTTTCCGCTCTCATCTCTGATTTTCTCACTCTTTCAACACATCACGCATGGTGTTGCTTTAGTTGATTAGAATAAAAGGGTCAAAACTGAAACAGTTATTCTTCCTGCGCATCTCCTTAAATGATGCATTATCTGTTGTTTTTTACACAGTATCAGTTTCAGTGCATTAGCAGCAAAATTTACCTTTCTGGATGATGTGTATTTTGTTTTTTCCTTTATCATCTTGGTGTTTCCTCTTTGGCAGTCACTTCTAGCAGCTTTGGGATCTATACAATTTGTCTCGAACATAGCTTTTGCCTACTTTGTTTTGAACAAAACAGTGACAATCAAGTAAGATAACATTTAAATTTCTTCTATTAAAATCAATAAGGACCTGAGTATAGACTACCAGCAATTCATAGAATTGATTGCTGATGTATGATACTTATTATCCTCATTATACAAGTTACAGTCTGATAAATATCTTTCGTATTGCAGTGTACTGGTAGCCACTGCCTTTATTGTTCTTGGAAACATCTTCCTTGTGGCCTTTGGCAACCACCAGTCACCTGGTATGTGATGGAAGGTGAAAAGCTTGTTGTTTTAGTTGCTTGTATTTGTACAGAATATTGGGTGTCTTCCATAGAGTATCATATTTTGTATACCTAAAAAAAAGAGTACCATATTTTGTACATTCAATCAATTTTTGGATACTACTTGTATACGGGAGTTGTTCCAATATAAATAAAATTATTTACCTTACAAAAGAATATCTCATACCATGAAAATCTGTTATAGGACTGACATATAGTCGACTCCCTACTTGATGCTTCTAAGTTGATCCCGTACTATGACAGTGCCTTGTATATATCTTGGGCGAAATGGTCTGATGGACCCTTATACTTGTATCAGTTTGTAATTAAGACCCTTTTACTTAACCATTTGTCAGTTGAACCCTTAAACCCTTAGACTCGATTAAAATGATACTTTTAAGCCCCTCCAACCATGTGTGTAGCTCACTCTCCTTTACATAAATGACATGTCATATCCACGTCATATATATTAGTGCCATGTCATAAATTTCATCTTTTTTTAAAAATTATTAACCAAAATTATTTAATAAAAGGTAAAATAATAAAAATTTAATTTATTCTTTAAAGTAAACCTCCATACATCTGATTCTCCTCATTTTCTCTGTTCACGGCCAACATCTACCGGAGAAGCCATCGCTGGCGTCGTCGCCACTTTTGCTGGCGAAATCACATATACTCTCTCCCTCACCTGTCTTCATCTCCGCCGCACACCATCACCATTTCCTTTCCGCCTCCAACCATCACAAAACCAACAACCTAAGCCACCGCATCACTAGATCTGGCCGAAAAACCTCTTCACCGCCATGACCATTGGGATACAAAACTGTTCTCAAGACTATTAGAAGCTCCAAAGCAAAACTTGGTATCATTGCCAACAACTGTCCTCCTATCAGGAAGTCTGAGATAGAGTACTATGCTATGTTGGCAGCGGTTGGAGTACAGTATTATTGACCCAGGTGATTCTGACATTATTAAAAGCTTGCCTGCTGACCAGTGAAGAGGCATTTGATTTGATGCTGTTTTGGATCCTATTCGGAAGTTGCCCGATTGTTATTAAGAAAAGTAGCTACGATTGATGAGTTTGGCAACTTTATTTATCACTTGTTGGAAGAATGCTTTGATGATGTGTAATCTGATTTTAACAATTTTCTTGAGTAATTGTTCAATCTACTATGTAGACTTTGATCTGTTAAAAAAATAAATAAAATTTAACCCAAAAATTTGCTTTTCCACCTTGCTTGGAAGACATGGTTGATTTTCTAGGGTTAAGAGTTTGGATCTGTTGATGATAACTCTCTCCTAACCCAAATAGTTACGTTTTTGTTAACTTTTGGGATGTTTCTATGTTCACTGAATGAATCAGGATGGGGCACTTGGTCCTTTCCAATATATACGGACATGTATTGTGGTGCCTTTGCCTATCAATAATTCATATTGGCGTTAAAAAAAAAAAGTTATTCACTCGCCTAAAGGAGCGTGGAGTTACACACTTTTGCCAACTCAGACATTTTAATGCCACATAAGTGTGGTCAATGGTCAGAGGGATTTGTTAAATTGTGTTTTATTGAGTCTAATGGTTCAGTTGACAAATGATTAAGTAAAAGGGTCCAGAATACAAATTGATACAAGTACAAGGGTCCATCATACCATTTCGCCTATATCTTGCTACCAGCACTTTCGATCTTATTTTTTGTAAAAAAACCAGGAACCCATGTTATTTGCTTATGAGACTGTTCAGACCATTTTAGCATATACACTCAAGTAAAGTGAAATTTATGCTAGATGATGGTGGAAAGGTTGTTGATTTATGCTAAAACAACTTTGTTACTCTTGTATTTTGAAGCCTGTTTTGAACAACATTTTTATTGAGCCGAGGGTCTATCGGAAACACCCTCTCTGCACCACAAAGGTAGGGGAAGGTTTGCATACACCCCACACTTCCTAGACCCCACTTGTAGGATTACATTGGGTAGTTGTCTTATCAATAACCCGTAAGACCTAAAGTGGCTGAATTGAGAAGGGGAAGAAGGCCTATGAAAGTTGCAGGAAAAGGATTGTACATAGTATATTCAGCAGATGTAGGCTGCATATTATGTCTATAAGTTGCCATAAGGTTAAACTATTTACCTTATCAAAAAAAATAAGTCGCCAATAAGGTTGCATGCTACTAGACTGCTTGAGCATTTGATCTTTTTCTGATTGTGTTGTACCCTGATGTGTCTTTTCGCTGCTCGGTGATCTTCATACTTGAATCAGTTCTGGTTACTTGAGTCCTTGTGCATGCTGCCAGCTTAAGTTGAAAATTTACCCACTTTTCATGTGACGTCAGTAACAAGCCTTATTACCCCATAATTCTATTGTTGTTCTTTATTTCCTTTTTTTTTTCTTGCTAAGAAATTGGAATTTCGGGTATTACTCTTAGAGCATGAGGCAAATTGTTCAAACCATTCAGAGAGCCAATTCCTTACTTAAAAATGGGGATACTAAGATAATATATTTTCCAACAAAGAGAAATGTGTCATTCTTTTTGGTACATACTAACTATGCATTTAGACAATCATATGCTCTGCTTTATAGTAATGTATGATTGTATATGCTTTCATGTTTACCTTATCGAACCAAATAAAGTAGAAAAGAAGAAAAGATTGTTACTTGCTTCCAACAGATTATATTTTATTATCATCCTTTCTTTGTAGTTTACACGCCGGAGCAGTTGGCTGAGAAGTACAGCAACATTACGTTTCTTCTATACTGTCTCACTTTGGTCTTAGTTGTTGCTTTACATCATTCAATATACAAGTAAGTCACAATGGCACAGTCAATAATCTCTGTACCTTTTTTTGGTGTCAAGTAATAGTATTTGATGCTGTTCGAGTTCTTCAAAAATACCATTGGGTGTGTGTCGGATCCTTCAAAAACTATGCATTTTTGGATGATATGACATGGGTGCGGCAACATTTTTGGAGGGTCTGAGCAACATAGATAATATTCTTTATAAATAACATGTCAAATACTTCAAAAAAAGAAAAAAAAATAACATGTCAAATACCGTGACTTATAAAAACTTAGCCTACTAGAAGTAATGAATTGGGATATATACCTTCAAAGTAAATTTCGAAAATTTAACATCTTTAACCTACTTATTGACCAAACGAGTTATTGATGGCTATAACCAGGTGAAAATAAAACTCTTGCTATAACCTGTGGCGCTTGCTCCTTGTGATGTCTTTCCTGCCTTCATCTCCAGTTATGGACTTCAACTTCTCTTTGTTCTCCACGCATGCTTATACATGCCACAACTAAAGTGACTATGCTAAGGATTGCTGTGTGTCCCTTTTGATTCTTCATGGCTATGATTATAGTCAATTATCAACTTAAGTGGGACTAGTTCTACTTTTGTAAGTCAGGTTCATTGAATTTTGTCAGAACATGAATACGTATATACAATCCTACTTAGAATAGGAACAGTAATCCTAGTTAGAAAAGGAGTCTAACATTGTGTGTATAAGTAGGGTCTCAATGTAACAATGTAGATACACAATTGAATAGTATTCTTCTCCTATAATTCTCACATGCAAACTTCACTTAACACCCATGAGGTCGTGTGTTTGAAACTTGCCAGCCCTTGTTTTATCCATTTTTAAAGCTTCTTTTAGCTAAAAAGAGAAAAACCCAAGGAAAAGTTGGATACAAAATTCGAACCCACTTCCTTTAGGTGGAGAAAAGGAGCTTTGCGGCAATTTCAACCAGTGCACCGAACTCCTCTGTGTCTTAGGGTGCCTACTAAAATATATTTTCATATCTCAAGGTATATATATACATATATATACATAACTTTCTTTCTCAAGAAAAATATATACATAACTTTTCCGAAGTTAACAGGTGCACGTACACTCCACCCTTCCACGTGGGTTCACCTCTATATACTGGTAAATTTAGAAGTGGATGCTAAGAGCTGTTTGGTCAGAAGTTTTACTCTCCCTTCTTTTTAGGTTCTTCCTGGTTTTGGAAGTACAATGTTCTCAACAATCGGAATTACTTCCTGATTTTTTTGGATTGATCCAAATTTCCAATCAACATAGGACTGTTTTAATGAATAAGAGAATGCTAGATTTGCTCACACTCTAGAATCAGATTTTGTAACCAGTAAAAGCCTATAGAGATATCACTTGGCCAGCCTTATCAAAGGTAAAAAAAGAGATTGCCACTAGGGTTTAGTAGTTGAAGAAATGTCGTGTTCGTAGAAAGAAGAGAAGGTTGACATATACCGGACGAGAACTCTAGCTTTACTTGTTCCCAGAAATGTCTGTGTCATTTGAGTGGAGTGGGATCATATTGCTTTTCCTAGAAACATGTAAGGTCGAGTGATTCAATATAAGCTAAAATGGGGTAGTGTCACAACCTAAAGTATACCCTAGGCGTAACATGGCGTATAGAACCCCGAGAGGCCCTAGACAAGCCACTTAACATACATCATTACATTGTACAAGATAATAGAATTAAAGCCTTAGATAATATTTCATACATCAATAGAGTTTGACAAAAAGCGGAAGTTTAATCATAAGTCTCAAAGCCATCTAATACATCATAAGGAAAGTGATTGGGACGTAACCCATACATCACATACAAAGTTGAAAACAAAAATGACATAAAACAATAAAGAATCTCAGTCCTCAAAATATGAGGACTCACCAGTCTTCGAAGCCTATGAAGGATCAACTAGCCACGAGTATGAGAGGTAGGAGCGTTAGACCCTTCATTAGTGAAACAATGTAGGCACACGTATGCATTAGCACATGGAATGTACTAAGTATGAGGCAATATGCATAAACATGAACATGATAATATACATGACTTAAAACGAATAACGAAACAATTAAAAGCTTATAGAGAAGAAATGACATAAAGATCATAAAACATAGTCAAATACATTAACATAAAGGATATTAGAAAAACTTGAAGAAAACATAGTCATTGTTTGGGATATTAGTTTTAACCGACAATAAGACCATGAGAGCTATATCATGTAATCTGGTATATTCCTCATACCGAAAGAAGGAAAAAACTACTTGCCAAGGTAGAATCCGTACATAATCCACTCGCTAGGTCACTTAAGACATCCTACGGGGCACGTAGTTTGGGACTAGAGGTTGCTAGTAGAGAATACCCTATTTGAGCCTCCACCTCGAAGCCCTCTTGGTGCTAAGTCTAATTCCAACGGAATAGATAAAAGTCAAAATACCAATTTAACATAGGGAAATGCAATGATCACTACCAATCCATGTCTTTCGAGATCAAAACATAGAATAACTCCTTAAACATAATTCAACATGAATGAGAAAACCTTTCAGCAATGTGAATTCATTTGTGAGAAATACCTTTCACAATCATGATCATCATAGTAAGTGAGAAATCCTTTCACAATAGCATCAATACTTTCCTTTCAAAACATCATCAATTCATTTACAATAACTTCATGAAAACATGCATATCTTCATAAATTCATAATTCATAGTTCATGGATTCATCATAGGATCATGGTTGAAAAACATAATTTAGGCATGGGTAAATGAAATTTCAACTAAATATCATAGATTAACATCAAGTAATGCATTAGAAGACTTTATTAATGATAATCAATCATAATTGGATGAAATCCACATTTATTGAATTGAAACCCTAACTTGAATCAATTGAAATTGAATTGGGGAATTGAAATCCTTGGGGACCCCATGGAGGAAAGGACTCCATGAGTGAATACACACATACCTTGATCCTTTAGGCCCAAGAAAAATGGAGAATTGGTAGACTTGAATGGAACCCTAGCTCTTTTCTTCTTCCTTAAAGTTGAGAGAATTGGGAGTATGAATTTGGTCAAGTTTAGGGAATTTAGGAGAATGAGTTGAAATGGGTAAATTGGGGGCTTAAAACGTTTATATAGGGCTCAAGGTAGAAGGAAAACGACATAGTTTTGGGTTAAAACAATTAGAAAAAGACCCAAAAGGCCTTTCAAAATAACTTTCGAGCCTCTCCTACGGTTCCTAGGTCCTTCTACCGACTGGTCACCGTAGATAGGTTCAGAAGCTATTATTTAGAAACTATTATTTAGACCAACTTTTGACGGACCCCATGTACGACTTGTAGGTCTTCTTGTGGTCTGTGCATGCCATCCGTAGAAACCAACTTTACCCCTAAAAATTTCACAAAGTCTTGGACTCACCTACGAGACCTACCTACGACTCATACAATGGTTAACAAACCGTCCTGGTGAACCATAAAAAGGGGTACTGGGACGTGATTTTTTTTTGAAATTTATTTCCACTTCCTACGTTGCCATCTACGGACCGTAGAAGCATCTACGGTCCGTAGATGGGACCTGAAACCAGACTTCAGTTCAGAAATTTAATTTTCTCCTTTTTCCAAGTTCCAAGGTATTACAGGTAGTTTGGTGGTGAATTTGGATGTAGTCCCATTCCTTTAAAAAATGGTGTGGTCAGGTTAGGTCATAAAATACAAGATGTGTATTGATTATTTTCCTAATAAAAAAAAGTAAAAATACAGGATGGCTTCCAGAGAGAAGCTCATACTTCTCTCTAAATTCTAGGAAGATGGAGAACATGTCTTTCAAGGAAGCTTTAGCTTGACCAACTTTGGATTTAGGAGGAAGATGTCAAAGGAAGGAGCCATCGAGAGAGCCCATCTTCTCTCTGTCGGAAGAACATACTTTAAAGAGAAGGACTTTTGAAATCCTATTTGGTTGGGCTTTTTCTAAATGGGTAGGTTCATCGAAGGTCGTTTGAAACTGTGTAGTGGCTATGTTGAAGATTACGCAAATGAACGACACCCATTTCTTGTTTCGTTTTGTTAATGAGGAGCAAGCGCTGGAGATTCTCAATGGAGGAAAACGATGGTTCAATGGTAATTTTCTGTTTTGGACCGGTGGACAGAGTATGAAGGATGTGTTGATCCACACTTACCTGACGACATGGTGATGATCAATATGGTGGGTCTTCCAGTTCATCTATGGCGTATTGATCTGTTTAGAAAAGTTGGGATCTCTGGGGCTTTTGTGAATGTGAAATATAGCTCGCACGACATGTCTAGGGTGAGAATAATGGTGAAAAATGTGGGGAGGGTACTTGTTTCCTTAGAGGTAGTTGATGGTGATTTGGGTTATAGAATTTGGTTATTATTGGAGTTGTGATTTGTGAAGTTGTCGATAGAAGTGGAGGAGAATAAGGAAGTAGCTAGGATTGGAGAACCTTTAGTTGGTGGGGATGATAATGGGGTGGCTGGCAAAAAGGTCTTTTGTTGCCGATAGTAAGGGGAAGGCAAACTGTTGTGGAGAGGAAGAGGGAAAACGATGGTAAATATGAGAGGGAGGCAAAATGCACCCAAGGGTGTAGCCTAGTGGTAATTGAAGTGGTTGAGAGCTATGAGATCTCAGGTTCAAACTCAACGGAGACGAAGATACTAGGCGATTCTTCCCATCTGTCCTAACCTTGGTGGGCGTAGTTACCGGGTACCTGTTGTTGGTGAGAGGTCACATGTATCCTGTGAAACTAGTCGAAGTTCGCGAAAGCTGGTCTGGACACCATGGTCACAAAAAAGAAGAAGGGGGGAGGCAAAATCCTATAAAGGGGAAAAGCTTCCTTACCCATGAGTCGGTGAACAGGGGTGGAAGTAGAGAGTGGACCAGTTCAACCACTTGAAAACCCCCCTTCTTAAACCTATTGAGCTGATAGGCTCACAGAACTGTATGAATAGCCAGAACCCTAATGTTTTGGTGTCAGAAATCAATTGTCAAGTCTAGAAAACCCTTGATCGAGGTTCGACCTTGAGTTGTGAGGCATGTGCATGGTCTGGGCGCTTGATTCCAGCAACCTGGGGGCATCATAAGATGGATTCCATGGATCATGCAGCTTCAACTAGCCAGTATCTAGGCTTTGATGAGAAGGAAATCACAAATCCAGTCCGAAATGGGGGCTGTTTTGACCACACGAATTTCTTTCTGGTGTTAGGGCAACGGGAGTTGCAGAGTTTCTAGGGCTGTGCACTTGAGTAATAACATTTTATCACTCATTGATTTTGGCTTTCACAGACAATCGCATCTTCGAGACCAATTCCAACAATATCGAGGTTGGAATTAAATTCTAGTTAGACCCCGACCGCTTTCTTGGAACTAATTGATAGGCACTTCGTTTTCTATAGAACAAGCAGGGTGATATGCAGCATCAATCAAGGTAAAGGGGTAGTCACCGCCTGTGCTATAATGCACTAAAGCCCTCCACCCCACCAAAAAGTAAAATAGCCGTGGTGCCTACTTGTGACACATATGGCTTGCTATAGATGATTGTTGTCCATTATTGTTATCAAGTAAACAAAATCACTTCATAAATCAAAGGCCAAAAAAAGACCATAAACAAGAAGTATACCAAAAAGTAAAGAACCTATAAAGATATATGGTTCTCTACAAAAGACACCCAATTGTCTGAACATTCCTGAACTACATGAGTGCACCAAAAATAAATCAGGGACTGCCCCCAAGGCCTAGCTCAAGTGGCAAAAGGTGGAGGATTTGTGGCTTAGGTCGCAGGTTCAAGCCCACACCATGCAAAGCGAAGCCCGGTATTTAAGTGGAGAAGGGTAGAGGGGAGGGCCCATTATCCACCGAGTTTAGAAGGCTGTGATTGGTCCAAACGGCGGGTCACAAACGGATTTCTCGGTTATCAAAAAAATAAATAAGGGACTGGAGACTACTCCTTAACTGCCCAAAACTCAATTCTACTCCTTTAAAAGCCCTCCTATTTCTCTCTCTCCAAATTATCTACAGCAAAGCTAGAGGAACAACATTTCATGCTTTGCTCTTCTCATTGCTTCTTTCAGCTTTCTAGTAAAACCCCAGATCCTTCACAGACTTTGGCATCACCAAGACGTACCAAACCAACTGAATATATCCCACCAGAGTGTTGTTGCCAGGCTGCAGTGTAGTAGAAGATGAACTACATCTTCACTTGCCTCTTTGCATAAGTAACACCTGCTGATACAAACAACTTTTCTTTTCCGAAGGTTTTCTGTCGTCAAAATCACCCCTGTAGCAGCTAACCATGTGAAGAAACAACACCTTCCTGGGCACCTTAGGAATCCAAATCTACTTTGCACGAAAGCCTCCTTCATCCTTGCCAAAAGCTTCTCATAAAAGGACTTCACAAAAAAATCACCATTGTCCCCAACTTCCATCTCACGGTACAAGGTCTTTTGAATGGCTCACAATGCTGATGGAGCAAAACTAACAATCCTTGAAATTTGTTCACCTCCCAATCCTGGAAATCTCTCCTAAACCGCAAATCCTAGAACGTATCTTCTCCTTGTGTCCCCCTAATTTGCTGGATTACCGTCTCCCTTTGACAAGGTAACCTGTAAATGCTTGGAAACTCACATGTTACCCCAAAAGCTCTCTCTACTCCCATCCCCTATCCTAAAGGATATATCATAAAAAAAAATCTACCCAACCCTTGATGATATTCCTCCACACTCCACATCCAAATGGTAATGTTAGATGATTGGTGTCATTGTAGGGATTATATCTTTTTGTAAGGTTTTTGCTTTTTGGTATAATTTTTGTAAATGAGTGGGTCTTGCCATTCATTGGTGGAATTTATTATGCTCTCTGTGCCACAGTTCCACTTTATGTGTCCTAGTTACTAATTGAAGTGTCAAAGGATACTTTCCTTGACCATAATTTTTTTAAATTCTTTTAAAATATTTTGAATTGTTTACTATTGTGACCTATAATACTTTTTATATAGTTTCTAAATATATAAATTTATTTCAAAATAAATTTAAATTGGATATCCTTCTAAACATTGCAGCAGTAGAAAGCACAATGCTAAGTTTGAAAAACAACAAATCATTAATTTGTCATATTTTCTATAGATCTGTATTGGAGAAAGAGGATGCTTATCTCGGTAATGTCAATCATGCAGGAGAGGAGAACTGATGCTTGCTGTCCCTATGAATGAAAGTAAGCCATATTGGCACATGCTGCTTCCATTTTCGTATGCAGTTGTTTCAGGTGCTGTTGGATCATGTTCGGTATTGTTTGCGAAGTCTCTGTAAGTGGAATATATGGTTCTTTGCCTTCTATGGAAGAACTGAATTTTATACATTTGACGCTGATTACTTCTATTTGTAGTTCAAACATGTTAAGATTGTCCATGTCAAGTGGTTATTCATTGCACAGCTGGTTCACGTATTCCATGCTCCTGCTGTTTCTTAGTACAGCTGGATTTTGGGTAATAGTGATGGACTCGTTCATTGCGTTATCGTTCAATTGTTGTAAAATAGAATACTTGAAACATGTGTAATTCAACTGATTCTGTTCTTGAATTTATCATCTTTGCAGATGGCAAGGTTAAATGAAGGACTTTCGTTCTTTGACGCAATACTTATTGTCCCTATGTTTCAAATCACTTGGACGTTTTTCTCCATTTGTACAGGATTTGTGTACTTTCAGGAATACCAGGTTTGCTCGTTCTCCGTGTCTACGGCAGGGCATGTTCTCCTCACCCTTTCCTTTTCTAAAATGGATGTAAAGAATTAGAAATGAATGTGTGTTGGGCATAAATTGCTTGATTATTTCCTCAAACATGTTTGGGTTTAAAATAGCGTTTACAAGTAGTCCTAAAGAGGAAAGGGAAATAAGTCCTAATTTTAGTTGCACAAATATAGGGATTCTAAATCTTTCCCATATTTACAAAGAGTAATCACTTCTCATACTACTAATTTTCAAGTTCTAACAGCCTTTCTCAAGTGGGAATGTACATATTATTTGCTCTCAACATGCCACTAATACAGATTCAACACTGGAGTTACAGTGACTTTATGATAATGCCTTCTAACTGATCACTGGGGTTGATAAAACCTGTCGCAATGCACCTTGACTCAATTTTTTGTTGAATGAATGACAATTTACTTCTATATGCTTTGTTCTTTCGTGAAATACTGGGTTAAAGCAATGTATATTGCAGCTTGATTGTCACAGATCAATTGCATTGGTGCACCTCCTGTACCTCTCAACACTTCAAGATCTTTCTTTAGGATATAAGCTTACATGTGGCCAAAGCCATTACTCGATATTCCACTGTGGCTCTTGATCTAGTTGCTACATCTTGCTTTTCCAAAATAATAGATTTCCTCCTGTAACAAGAACTTAGTTCTAATTACAGAACTATTAGGATTCCAAACCTTACCATATTTACAAGGAGCGTGCTCTTGCTATATTGACAATCTAACAATAAAGTTGGGAGAAAGATCTATGGTCTCCATTTTGGTAGTCTAGTTGATTGCTGTATCTAGGATGACAATTGTTTCAACTTTGATTTTCAAGTGAGTTTGCAGACTAAAAACCTAAAATTGTAAATTTACACAGGTCTTTGATGCATTAAGAACGACAATGTTTATTCTTGGAATGATTTCTGTATTTGTGGGCATTTCTTTGCTTGCCCCAGATGAATCAAAAGGTATTGTCATTTTAAATCACAGGTTCTTGATAATAAAATGTGCCTAGGGCATGAAAGACTTAAAAGTAATATCTGCAGGAGGTGAAGTGAAGGATGGTTCTTTAGTTTCAACAACTTCAAATTTGTCACAGGATGAGGAGAGGTATGTGGTCTCCACCTCTTATTATGTAGACATTGATTATTGGAGATTGAGTAGTAAATTCTTGCTTTTATCTTGTTAGAATAGAAATAAGTATTTCCTACTTAGAATAGAAATAAGAATAGGAATAGGAATAGGAATAAGAATAGGAATCCTAGTTGGAAAAGGATTCCAATGTAGTGTCTATAAATAGGGTCTCAATGTAACTATTTAGATACACAATTCAATAATATTTTTCATATATATTTCTCACATGGTATCAGAGCATTGGTGAGAACAAACAAGTCACCGTATGTCTATGTCAATTTTCGGTGACTGTTGGGTCTGATTTTGTTATACTTTTTTCTTTCTGTGGGTGTTGTGCGAAAACCAACACCACCACGAGGCTCGGAAAGCCCCCGCGACCAAACCCCAGCCAAAACCACCGGAAAAAACCACCCCACGCGCTCTCACGCGCCTATCGGAGGTGGCAGTTTCCGGCGAGATCTGTCTCACGCGCCGGCGCGTGAGGGCTTTTCTGATCATATTTTTTTGAGATTTTTTTGACAGTTGGGGTCGTCCAGCCAATCCGACCAGGCCCATACTGTTTTTGACCAGATCCGATCGCCGGAATTAGAGTTCCAGCTATTTCCAGGCAGTTTCCGGCGACTTTTCTTCGAGATTTGAATTTTCCGAGACAAATTTAGCATAATGTCTTTTGGGTGTGATGTTTTTGGTTCCAAAAATATGGGGATTGGAAGTTCTAGCCCTATAATCACTTCAGAACTTTTATTGGGAAGTTCAAACTATTTATCTTGGGCTTCCTCGGTTGAGTTGTGGTGCAAGGGTCAAGGTGTCCAAGATCACTTAACGAACAAGGCTTATGAGGTAGATGTAAAGGCAAAGACTAGTGAGGAAGATGCAAAAGCCAAAGCACAATGGGAGAAAGTAGATGCTCAATTATGTAGTCTCCTATGGCGTTCTATTGATTTCAAGTTGATGCCCTTGTTTCGCCCATTCCAGACGTGTTATACAGTTTGGGAAAAGGCTCGTGCTTTATACACTAATGACATATCTCGATTCTATGATGTGATATCTCGATTGACCAACTTAAAGAAACAAGAATCCGATATGTCTACTTACTTAGGACAGGTACAGGCAGTCATGGAGGAATTTGACACATTAATGCCAGTTACTACGAATGTGGAAAAACAACAAGAACACAGACAAACATTGTTTCTAGTTCTTACTCTTGCTGGACTTCCTCCTGATCATGATTCTGTACGTGATCAGATTTTAGCTAGCCCTACAGTTCCTACAATCGATGAATTATTCTCTCGTCTCCTTCGTCTTGCGGCACCTCCCAGTCACAAGGTAGTTTCATCACCCACTGTTGACTCATCTATTCTTGCATCTCAAACCTTTGAAAAGCGTACATATCAATCTATGGAGAATCGGCGAGGAGGAGGGCGTTTTGGGAAACCTCGATCCAAGTGTAGTCATTGTCATAAGCCTGGACACACTCGTGATATATGTTATATTTTGCATGGTCCACCACCCAGTTATGATCCTATTGTTCTAAAGGAATATAATGAGTTCCTTCGAAATCGCGCAAGTAAACAGACATCTCCACCAGTAGCATATGGTGCTCAACCTAATCAACCATCCAATAATGCTCATATTGCTCAGACAGAATATGATGAGTTCCTTCAGTATCGTGCAAATAAGCAAACGTCTCCACAAGTAGTTTCGGTTGCACAACCTGATGTCTCTGTTGCGGGTAATTCTTTTGCTTGTGTGTCGCAATCTAGTACTCTTGGAACATGGGTCATGGACTCTGGGGCTTCTGATCATATCTCTGGTAATAAATCACTTTTATCCGATATTGTTTATTCACAATCTCTTCCAGCTATTACTTTAGCCAATGGGATCCAAACCAAACCAAAAGGGGTTGGAAAAGCCAAACCCCTATCTTCTGTCACCCTAGACTCTGTTCTTTATGTCCCTGGTTCTCCTTTTAATCTAGCATCTGTTAGTCGTTTGACGAAAGCCCTACATTGTAGTATAACTTTTTTCGATGATTTTTTTCTCATGCAGGACCGCAGTACGGGACAGATGATTGGAACAGGACATGAATCACAAGGCCTTTACTATCTTACCTCTTCAAATTCCTTAGCAGCATGCTCCGTTACAGATTCCCCAGATTTAATTCACAAACGTTTGGGACATCCGAGTCTATCCAAACTGCAAAAGATGGTGCCTAGTTTGTCTAGTTTATCCACATTAGATTGTGAGTCGTGTCAACTTGGGAAACACACTCGTGCTACGTTTTCTCGTAGTACTGAGGGTCGTTCAGAGTCTATTTTTTCATTAGTTCATTCTGATATTTGGGGTCCTAGTAGAGTCAGTTCCACCTTAGGATTTCGTTATTTTGTTAGTTTCATTGATGATTATTCAAAATGTACTTGGGTTTTCTTAATGAAAGATCGTTCTGAGTTATTTTCTATTTTCAAAAGTTTCTTTGCTGAAATACAAAATCAGTTTGGTGTTTCTATTCGTACTTTTCGTAGTGATAATGCCTTAGAATACTTATCCTCCCAATTTCGGGAGTTTATGACTCACCAAGGCATTATTCACCAGACTACTTGTCCATACACCGCTCAACAAAATGGTGTAGCTGAAAGAAAAAATCGGCATCTTATTGAGACCGCTCGTACTCTTCTCCTTGAATCCAATGTTCCATTGCGTTTTTGGGGAGATGCAGTTCTTACGTCTTGTTATTTGATAAATAGAATGCCCTCTTCTTCTATTCAGAATCAGGTTCCCCATTCCATACTGTTTCCTCAGTCACATCTCTATCCTATCCCTCCTCGTGTCTTTGGGAGCACATGCTTCGTTCATAACTTAGCCCCAGGAAAAGATAAATTAGCTCCTCGTGCCCTCAAATGTGTCTTTCTTGGTTACTCTCGAGTCCAAAAAGGGTATCGTTGTTATTCACATGATCTTCATCGATACCTTATGTCTGCTGATGTTACATTTTTTGAGTCTCAGCCTTACTATACATCTTCTGATCATCCTGATGTCTCTATGGTCTTACCCATACCTCAGGTTTTACCTGTGCCAACCTGTGTGGAATCTACGGTTACTTCTACATCTCCAGTTGTAGTGCCACCACTACTAACTTATCATCGCCGTCCACGTCCAACCCTAGTCCCAGATGATTCATGTCATGCGCCAGACCCTGCTCCTACTGCGGACTTGCCTCCTCCTAGCCAACCGCTTGCACTTCAAAAAGGTATACGATCCACTCGAAATACTAACCCACATTATACCTTCTTAAGTTATCATCGTCTATCATCACCCCATTATGCATTTGTGTCGTCTTTGTCCTCTATTTCCATTCCTAAGACTACAGGTGAAGCACTTTCTCATTCTGGATGGAGGCAGGCTATGGTTGATGAGATGTCTGCTTTACATAAGAGTGGTACTTGGGAGCTTGTCTCCCTTCCTGCAGGTAAATCTACTGTTGGTTGTCGTTGGGTTTATGCAATCAAAATTGGTCCAGACGGTCAGGTTGATCGACTTAAGGCTCGCCTTGTTGCCAAAGGGTATACTCAGATATTTGGGCTAGATTATAGTGACACTTTCGCTCCTGTGGCTAAAATTGCATCTGTTCGTCTTTTTCTATCTATGGCTGCCGTTCGTCATTGGCCTCTTCATCAGTTGGACATTAAGAATGCTTTTCTGCATGGTGATCTTGAGGAAGAAGTCTATATGGAGCAACCACCTGATTTTGTTGCTCAGGGGGAGTCTAGTAGCCTTGTATGTCGATTGCGCAGGTCACTCTATGGTCTAAAACAGTCTCCTCGAGCTTGGTTCGAGAAGTTCAGCCAAGTCGATGTATCTATTTGGTTGTTTACGTTGATGATATTGTTATCACCGGTAATGATCAAGATGGTATCACCGATTTGAAGCAACATCTCTTTAAGCACTTCCAAACTAAAGACCTTGGCAGATTGAAGTATTTTCTAGGTATTGAGGTTGCTCAGTCTAGATCAGGTATTGTTATTTCTCAGCGCAAGTATGCCTTAGACATTCTTGAGGAGACAGGGATGATGGGATGTAGACCTGTTGACACTCCTATGGATCCGAATGTTAAACTTCTTCCAGGACAGGGGGAGCCACTTAGTAATCCTGAAAGGTATAGACGACTTGTTGGAAAGTTGAATTATCTCACAGTGACTAGACCTGACATCTCTTTTCCTGTGAGTGTTGTAAGTCAGTTTATGACTTCCCCTTGTGATAGTCATTGGGAAGCAGTTGTTCGTATTCTGCGATATATAAAGTCAGCTCCCGGTAAAGGACTACTCTTTGAGGATCAAGGCCATGAGCATATCATTGGATATACAGACGCTGATTGGGCAGGATCACCCTCTGACAGACGTTCGACATCCGGATATTGTGTTTTAGTAGGAGGTAATTTGGTGTCGTGGAAGAGCAAGAAACAGAATGTGGTTGCTCGATCTAGTGCAGAATCAGAATATCGAGCAATGGCGACAACAACTTGTGAGCTAGTTTGGATCAAACAGTTGCTGGGAGAACTAAAATTTGGCAAAGTTGATAAGATGGAACTTGTGTGTGATAATCAAGCGGCTCTTCATATCGCATCAAATCCAGTGTTTCATGAAAGGACTAAGCACATTGAGATTGACTGTCACTTTGTCAGAGAAAAGATACTCTCGGGAGATATTGTTACGAAATTTGTGAAGTCAAATGATCAGCTTGCAGATATCTTCACCAAGTCCCTCACATGTCCTCGTATTAATTACATCTGTAACAAGCTAGGTACATATGATTTGTATGCACCAGCTTGAGGGGGAGTGTTAGAATAGAAATAAGTATTTCCTACTTAGAATAGAAATAAGAATAGGAATAGGAATAGGAATCCTAGTTGGAAAAGGATTCCAATGTAGTGTCTATAAATAGGGTCTCAATGTAACTATTTAGATACACAATTCAATAATATTTTTCGTATATATTTCTCACAATCTCGTCATTAATTCCTCATGGTTAAAATTGCTTAGCAGAATGACCTGTTATTCCCTGATTCCTGCCTTTATATTGGTATTTATGCACATGTCAGGCTGTTAATGCCATCTGAAGACTCCCAAATTAAGGATATAAGATCATTTGGACGAGTTATGCTGATGAAAGCTGCTAATATGATTGTAAAGGCAAAGGTTCTGATGGTTGTCCGTATTTACTATTCCATGAAGAATACTGCATGCTTACATATCTAAAGAATATACTTTCACACAGGCTGCATGTTCAGTATCACTAGGCTTTGGTGAAGACTCACTTCATGCATCATCAGTGCTGGTGATGCCCATGGTTTCATCGAAAATAACAGGCTTCCGAGGAGGCGGTCTTGATCGGGCAAAAATATTATCTGTTCGAGGACCAGGTTGGAACAAATTCGCAGTTGATAAAGATAGTGAGACAATCCTGGAGACAACTGCGATGTTGCCCCAAGGTATCAACTTGGACTAGGAGAGCGTTGCATTGGTTTGTGGAGATGGACATGCCAATGGTGTTTATTTCTTATTCCTTATGGAGAATTGTGTCTCTACTTCCCATTTACTAATTGTACACTTTATTATTCCACTCGTAGTCTGTCAGAAGGCAGCAGATGCTGGGACGGGGAGGGGAACAGCATATGTTTGAAGAGGTAGGGCTAGCTAGCATGATTTGTAAGGGGAATATACTACGTTGATGAATGTTCATTTATCTCTTTTAGAGGCATAATCTTATAAATTGTTTTTGTAGTTTACGAGAATACTAGGTTTGACTGTAAGGCAAGACATTCTGCATTAGCTGCTGGCTGTTGATAGTTTGAGCTCGCGTGATTGTTTTACTAGTGTAATTAATGTTCTGGTTTCCTCTGTCTGGTGCTGGCGCATATGATTCTGGCTGCAACCTAATCAACTACATAGCCTTAAACAGAGAATTAAATGGTCTTTTAGAATCATGAACTCTAGATACACCAGCAGAGTACACTTTTTTCTAACTATTTTTTAAGTTTGAGTTTATTTTAGAGGTAAGTGTCAGAAATACACCTGAATTATCCTTTTTTTTTTAGTTTCATACCTAAACTAAACACACCTGAATTATCCTTTTTTTTTGAGTTTCATACCTAAACTAAACACTCTCTTTTATTTGAAAAAACATTGACACATAATATTCCACCTGGATTAAATCTTTCACCTTGACAAAAATTAAATAATAAACTATTAATATTAATTAAAAATTATCACTATTCCGAAAATTAATATTTTTTTAAAAATAAAATTTAAATTAATTTTCTTACCCTTTCCACCCTCCCCCCCCCCCCCCCCCCGACCCAACAATCCTCTATCCTTTTATTTTTTTTAAATTTCTTTTATAAAAAATCATACTTCACCCCACAACCACCCGCCCACTCATTCCCCCCAAAAAATTGATATTATTTTATTTTTTTAAAAATAAAAATTCTATCACATCCTATTTAACTCTCTGCTCCTAATTATTTTTATTTATTTTTTACATTTTTCTCATTTTGTGTTAGATATGTACATATGTTTTTAGGAATAATTTTTCTACTTGTGTACCGAATATAACATAAATAATTTTTTTTTAAAAAAGTCGTGTGGCAGCAAGTAAAAAAGTATTTTCGATACGTAATATCTAACACAAAACGAGAAAAAATTTGAAAGCGGAAGGTTAGGTGGAGTGGGTAATTTTTTAAATATAATAATATCTAAATTAGTATTTGAAGATGGGGAAGTAAACAAAATTAAATACTTTGAGAGGAAGTGATGAAATGGGGTAAGAAAAATATTTTACATTTTATTTTATAGAAAAAAGTATTTTTTTGGGATAATAATTTTTAATCTTTGATTTTAACTAACACATAATTTATTTAGTTTTTGTCAAGGTGGAATATTTTGTCTATGTGGAGTGTGATGTGATAATTTTTTTAAATTAAAGAGAGTATATTACACAATACACACTATGGTAAGAGTGTTATAAAAGAGAGAAATGTGTTTCTCAAACTAATAAGTGATAGTTTATATATGAAACACACTATCTCACTAGTTTAGGTATGAAACTTAAAAAAATGAGATAATTTAGGTGTGTTTTTAACCTTTATATTTTTGTTTTATCAGTATAGTCCTACTTTTTAATATTTAATCATTAGTGGTTGGTGCAAAATGCATTAGTGTCATCCTCGGTACCAATTTCAATTGTGCCAAATGTTCTGCAACATAAGCACATGATAGATTATAAAATTTTAAACTCCCCTACCCCAAACAAAAAAAAGAAGCTAAATGCATATCAATTGTGCTAGACGGTAAAAATAAACCGGACAAAAGTCTTCTCTACCCTTAGCCACCCCTTCTCTCCCATCCATATACCCTCCTTAAAAAGGAGATCCTCCAATTCACATTCAGACATTAAATAAGAAAGTCTTCCAACAACCAAAAAGGCGACTTTGGAAAGTAAGATTTGTTAGAATAATCATTATCCTCCATTTTATTTCTCTTTTGATGATTCTTTTACCCTACTAACCAATTGTCATAAATGGGCCATCAGTGCCTCGTTGATATGTTGTGTATTACAAGACTGATTTCTATATTACAAAATTGGGGATACTGTACAATGTACATTGGTACAAAAAATGCACAAATTTTCCAAGAAGTTGAAACTCCTGGAGAAGAATGATTCTGCATTCCAGGACAAAACTCAACTTAAATAGAATGAAGATGCCGCAGTTCCAATATTATTGAACCTATGGCAGCAATTGCTCAAATTTCAAGTAAAATTTGGAGAATTGCGATGCCCATCAGCAAATTCTCTCACTAAACGCTTCAGAATTCTCCCCCCTTTACCTTGCATATGCCCATAATCACTTGTTCCTCCAACGTTTCGCCTGCTCTCAATATAGTCTGAAGCAGCAGCAGCAAGTGCTTTAATCCAGAGAGGGACCAAAGACTCTACTTCGCCATGCTTTAGGTACTCAGCTGGTAAATTGTGTACCTGGAAAACGATTATTGGTCACACAAAAGAGTGTTTTGATACAACTCTCCCCACAAAAATATTGTCTCAATGCAACTCTCAACTTATCATAGTAGCAATATCACATCTGGAGAAGGAAAGAGAATCAACCTGCTAATGGGGTTGAAATAAGTGACAGAATAGCACACTGAATAAAGCTAATATGTAAGAAAAACATTTTTTCTTATAGAAGTAACAAATGATGACCATTTCATAAGGCTCATATAAGTGCTGCTTTCCTTCTAGGAAGTTTGCTGTGCATGAGCAGCAGGATCAGTTTTGATAAAATAAATGAGAAAGGCACTTAGGAGAGAGATAGATAAATAGTGATAGAGAGAGAGGACTGACTGCAGAATGGAGCCATCCATGTAAGGAATCCCAACAAAGATGAGCCTTCCAGGTGGTTCTTTCACTTAAATTGCACATAGCAGCCAATTGCTGCAAAAGTGTTGCAGACTTGTGAACCTGTTAAGGGAACAGTGTTAGCGAAAACGACAACATTGTCAAAAAGACCATAAAGATTGAAATCATCCAACTGTAGTGTTCAAAGACTCCTGCTTTTGTTCCAAATGGCTTAGGATGCTCCACAAATAATAGCGAGCCACTTGATCCTCATGATAATATTTCCTAGTGAAAAAGGATTCCATTCTGGCAAAATTGGTTCTACACGATCTTGCATATATGACATTTGAATTGTAATTCAAAGATAAGACTCTAGCAACCAACGGCATACTTGCAAAATAAATGCTTTTGATACAAAGCAACCTGCACCAAACTTGATTGCTACCAGTTCTTTCTATAGTATCTCGAGGAATAAACATGAGCTGGTTCAATTTACCCTTGACATTGCAGAAACACCAAGTAAAGCATACATTAGGTTTGACACTAGGCCATCGCCGCTGTGAGATATGACTTGTATTGCCATAGCATCAATTGAACTATCAGAAATACCAACTATGCCTTCCAGTTCAGAACCATGCGTAAGGGATTCAACCAAAGCATTTAAGCCAGTCTCTAGGAAACCTGAAGCACAATATCAAGTTAAGAGTTTCTCATTTAGACTAGAATAACAAATCATTAGATGTATACAACCGCATTTTTACTAAAGGTCAGAATCAGAAGAAAATTTCGATATGATGAATAGGCTATACTCAACAGACATAACAAATCATGTAAAAAAATGTGAAAATTCATTATGGTGCACTATCTAATGGACTTCACAAGATTTAGATTATGGATAAGGATCTGATCAAGATATTTTCATGTTTCACTATGACTTGTGGTTCTCATTAATAGCAGATCGTATTGGAAATATTTAATGTAGCAAGTTTCGACATTTAACATATTGCTGGATAGGGTAGCAGAGATGGTTCAGTGACGACAGCCTAAGCATTTTTGTTCCAATCACCTTCAGCAGCTCAAGTAAGATGGACACGACAATTCATCAAGTTCACAAGTTTCAAGATAGAGAAACCTTGTGGAATTTGACATTCAGAAGAAATCTACAAGATTAGGAGATAAGAGGAATTCTAGAACCTTATAGAATTATTATTTTATAACAAGAATATCATATTGTCCAAAGGGATAGTTGGAAATGCAAAGAGATGAAAATAAATTTTTTTGAACAAAATTCTTCTTACACAGGCGACTAAAAATGTGAGGACACTAGTTACCCACACCTACCAGTTTGGATTCTCAGAACGTCGAAAAAAAACATGTTTTCTCACATGCTTTGCAGCAATGGGTCTATTCTAATAGCAGGAAACTTTTTAAAAAAAGATTAACAAACATGTGTCAATATGGGTCAAACAGAGGATTCAACATCAAGTTCTAGACTTGACAGGTTTTTGTTATCCACTGCATGGGAAGAGACGGTTCCAAGTAAACCCCTTTGCCTAGATTGACTGTGGACCATTTTCCAATTTTGTTGGATGAAGCAGAGGAAGACACACAAATTCCCCCTACAGATCCGAGAACATGTGTTTAAGTGACAAACTTTGGAGATAGATGATGGGATGGTGGAATGGTCATCCGGTTACTGACAAGTCAAAATGCCAAAAAATTGAAATTGTTGCAAGGGGAGATAAGTGTGAAATAAGGAGGTGTTTAGGAGGGTTGAGGTGAAAATGAAGGGGATTCTGATAAATTAGGGAAGCCAATGATGGTTGAAGGGCAGAAGGACTTGGGAGGTAAGAGAGGAAGAGAGAAAAAAGGAATTGAAGAGGGTGTTAGCTAGTTTGGCCACTCTAAGAAACTAGTTGGAAACAAAAATTGAGGGCATTAAATTTGGGAAAATTATCAAACTAGTCAAAATTAGCAACTTATTTATGGGAAATAACTGTAGTTTCAAAATATTATAAAAAAGAGCAATATGTTCTTTTTACAAAAAACACTTCCCCTCTCTCTCTTGCCCTCTCCTCTTTCTCACTCTCTCCCTTGCCTGTCCTCCCTTTCTCTTGCCCTCTCCTCTCTCTCTCTGTTTTTCTCTCTCCTACCAATAAGAAGAAATACATTTAAATTTATTATGTATCAATTGTATTCAATCAAATATAGGTGAGAGTTTTGTATTTTATTTCAATTGTATTCAAAAAAATGTATTTTGTATTTTTTGAATCAATTATATTTGTATTCATACGAATACAACATGCATTTATATCCTCTCTGTCAAATATATTTGTACCCA